TCCTCACCAATTTTAATCGCGTGTGCTTCTACAATTGCTTCCTTAACTTCTTTGCTTATCTCGCCGTAATTTTTTTTGCTTATTAATTCTTCAACTTCGCCAATTCTCATTTTTTTGAAAAACTTATTATTCTTTTCATACTCGCTTTGGAGTTTTTTTATCTCGTTTGCCGTTAATTGTTCTAACACTGCCATTTAATTAATTTACTTTTCTTTTTCTTTTTTAATAAGAGAGCAAAAACCACCATCATAATCGCTGCTGTTAACAAAGAACCAGTTATTCCTCACACCACTCCACTACTTTTACCAGGATTATTTTTATTCTCCGACAAAATATCAGGTCCATTTTTCTCCATCTTATCCAACCGGGCTTGAAGTTTCCCAATTACTATATTCTTTTCGTTTAGTTTGGTCCGTAATTCCTCAATACTTAAATCTTTGGTGTCCTCCTCTTTTTCTTGGGAGGGGATTGGTTCGTTCAACTTTCTTTCTAATTCTTCCTTTTCCTCATTGGCTTTTTTTAAATCATCTTTCAATTGGTTCAATTCCTCACTATTGGGAGTATCGCACTTGTGATTTAGGATTTGCTGTTGTTTCTGTTTTAATTCTTTATCTAAATTGTCCTTATCATTGGTCAAATCGTTAACTTTCTTTTGTAAGTCAGTAATATCCTTATCACTACTTCCGGCTTTAACTATTTTGCTTTCTCAATTATCTAAATCATTCCCGACTATTGTTTTTAGTTTATTCTGATACTCTTGAACGGATTTAGAATGTAAATCAAGAGCAGATTTTAGAGCTTGGCTATTATTGCTTTGCTGGTCTAATTCCTCCATCATAATCATTGCTAATTTAATCCAACTCTTACTACCAATTTCTTCTCTTTTGGTCTTGGTAAAAGGAACATGTCAGTTTTTTTTAGCCACTTCCTTTCTCAACTTAATTCCTAATTCGTGTAATTGTTGTAAATCATTGGTGTTATTAATCTCATTTTCCCAATTGGGAACTGAAAAGTTATTATCCTTAATTTTCCATCTTTTTTGTTTGCTTTTTATGTTATCTATTCAAAATTTCTTTATTTTATTGTAGTTCATATTGCTTTCTATTTCTTAAAATTGTCTATATTTTCGCTTTATTTAGAGGTAAAAATGGCAAAAAAAGCCATCTCTTTCCCTCTTTTATCTGTATTTATTAATTTAAAAATGTTT